ACGACTTCATTTATCACGAACGGGTACCTCCAGCCAAAGATCTCACCCAAGTTCCGTCTGACGGTGGTATTGGAAAGATTGAACTGAAAATGCCAATTCTGGGCACCGAAGTCAAAGATATATTCACCGATCTAGTCCCACTTGGATTTCTGGAGGCGAAAAACCAAGCGGATGCATTGACTCGTTCATTGGTGGCCATGGAAATACAACGATTGCGTGAGGCTACAAATGCATTGAATGCGTGAGTCTGGTTCTGCTCTGATCGAAATGTGTCGCGCTTCATTACTCTAAGTATACTTGTCAACCATATCTGTTCGACCAGTAGCATGATCATCTTATACAAATATTATAGTGAGGGAGTGTGTGTGTGGGGGGGGGGGCATAGGGAGGGAGAGACGGAAACGCCTTTATCTACAGTCTCCCATAATGCGTGACGGTTAAATTATTTCATCGCACTTCGGTAGCTTCGAGGCAATACTAAAATGCAATACAAAGTGGTTGGAAAAATCATTGAACCCATCACGATCTGTCTCCACTCTGGACGGAATGGTCAACCGATGCTTCATGTGTTTTTGTTCCCGGAAAAGATGGCCCACAATGCTGACACCTGGGTTTCGTGTCAACTGTAAAAATACACGGGAATGAATTATCCGGGGACACCAGCATTAGGTAGTACATTGTATGTGGTTCAACGGTGATTAGGATTTATTGAAGAGCGCTAATTTTGTGAAAGATTATTTGAAAGCATTTTATTGGTGGAAGCGAAAAGCATAGGAAACTGAATAATAAAAACGTCCTTAAAGTGCTGATTTCCGATCGGGAATCGTTCTCGACAATCGTCGTGCATCAAAACTGTATAGATTTCTTTACTCATGAATAGCTTTGCACAAGTACACCTAAGTGTCATAAGTAGTAACAGTAGCTGTACTATTTGTAACATGGCTTCCGTTACATTTCGCGTTGATTGATAATCTTTCGACTCGTAACGTGGCTACCCGCTTTAGAAGACCACTTAAGGTCTATTGGGGATTCTGCAAGTACAAAAACAAAAAAACAAGTATCACGAATAAAGAGCCAATTGTTACTCGCCACATGCGTCAAATAACAATTTTTACGAAGTAGGGTGAATGCTTCAAAGTCCACATTCGCCAGACGGATAATCGGTGTTTGGAATTTTCATCCACCCCCCGCCTAAACTGATCGTAGTCTCCGCTGTATCTCGTCCTCCTTCTCCATAGCATGCCGCTCGATTGTACTCACAACATTCGTCTATGTGTATCGCTACTGGCAAGCTGTGGAGATTGAGCAATCACTAAACCTGCCCGACATATATCCTGGAAAGAACGTACAACGTGCGTTTCAAGCAAGGCGCATGATGCTTGGTGTACGTCGGTAAGAGACTAACTAGCGGTTAAGTCGGATAGATTGTCAGATCATCGTGTGTGTGAATGTGTAAGAGTGAGAGAGAGGCAGAGATAGTCCAATTCCAAGCCGTCTTTATCTCTTATCTCAATAGTTTTTGCTCAATCTAATCACTCAGATTTCTGCGTCTGTTTTATTTATTCGAAATCAACGTCGTATCTCTAGTGTCGCGCAAAATTGTCATCTCTCTTTTACTGCCAATTGTTAGCCTTCCTAGCATATCTCAACCATCACGAGCTTGGCTCGTGTGATAATCGACTTATCTATGTAGTGAAAAGATTTTTTGATTTTATGTACGTACGAAATCAGTACGGTACTATTCCTCTCTGTAGTTTGATCTGGGCATCAGTCCATCTGTTGCTCTGTCATTCCCTGTTTATTTACTGTCTCCAGCCAAGTTGCCTACTTGGTCTATTTTCAATTAGTTCGGCGTGTTTGCGATTTGGAATTCTAGCATTACACACGCTTTTGCGAACAGTAATTCGCACATGCACCCACCCCACAGGTAGTCCTGAGGTCAGTTGCCAGCTCCGTACCTTTAATGAATCTTGGTCATTTCTTCCGGAGTTCAATTTGTTTGAGGGCAATTTCGACATTGCTTTCAGTCTCTATGTTAGTTCCATCGTTTTCTTTCGGCGTGTTACTCACAGAACACCTTGGGACAGTCCAACTCTGTTTTCTTTTTTTACATGAAAAAAATAAACTACTTAACCCGGTTTCAGTTTTCAGTTTGAACAACCATTAACCACGCATATTCGTGCGCCGGTTTTGGTTGCTGTCTTTTGGCTGCCCATTGGGATGAAGAATAGGA